CTGTGCCCGGCCGGCCCGGGGAGCGAGGCACGGCCCTCCCCGCCGTGCCCCGGGCCCGCAGCGCTCTGCGGAGCTCGCTCTGTAGCATGACTGTGTAAAACCGCCCGGGAAGGGTTGATTGCCATTAGCAGCCAGCGATGGCGTTGGGTGTGCTCAGCCCGAGCCGTGCAAGGAGAGCTTTAAGAGGTTTATGAGCAGCCCGAGGTTCAGCAGTTCATGTTTTGTGGCTGCAGCGGGGCTAGGGATCCCTTCCTGAGGGAGGAGGCAGAGAAAGCCCGCACGGAGAATGAGCTCATCGGTGTAACTCGATCTGCTGCTGCCCCTGGATGGTGGGGTGAAATCCAGGTGTTTGGGTCTGGGCTGTTTGTACTGGTGGCACCCAAACCGTGGGGCTGTATGAACCAGTCCTGCAGGTCAGAGGACTCAGGGATGGTTTTCCTTGCACCACCTGTTGCAGAATCCACTCTGATGACACAGCTGGAAAATTCCAGAGCCTGTTTCTGAGCTTCCCCACTGCCTGCTTATCAAAGGACTTGCACAAACAATATAAAAATCTCCAGAGCAGCAAGTCAGCGCTGATTTTTCCCAGGTGCTTTGTTTGCTTTGTGCTCAAACAGTCACCTTTAACTCCTTTATTTTCGTCTTCCCTTTGGAAAAGGAAAGGAGCTCTCAGTAAAAAATGTCGTGGATCAGAGAGGGCGAGCTGACCATCATAGAGAGGTTCTGTGCCAACATCATTAAGGTAAGGGATGGATTTGGGTGGACTTTGTGGTGAAGAGCTGGCAGGTTCTTCAGGGTGGAGCTGTCTCTGTGGCTGCAGTGCTCTGGAAAGGGAGTGTTGTTGGCAAGGGTACATTTAGTGCTGGCACTGGATGTGAATCCGTAAACTGCAGCCCAGGGTTTGAGATTACTTAGGCCTTGCCTTGCAAATGAGCAAGGCTGCAGGCAGTGCTTGCCAATAAGGATTTGTGCCCTTGCTGATGAAGGCAGGTTATGGGAAGGAGGGAAAGACAGAGGTCCTCATATTGGGAGTTTAAGGAATGAAACTGAGTATTGGAACAAACACTCAGCAGTTCCAGGAAAATTCTCTTCTTGCTCAGGCTTGAGACCGATGGTGCTGCCCTTGTGAGGGCCGGTGAGGTCAGTGGAAAGGAACACTTCTGTTTGTGGGGGGAAGCCCTATGACCTTTTCTTGTTTTCTCTGAAGTTAATTGTGTCTGTGAACAGGCCCTTGAGCTCTGAAATAAAAAGTACAGCATAAACCCCTGTGTGTCCTCCTCTGTGGCTGCAGCTGTTGCAGCGCTGAGCTCCTGAGCACTGCAGCTCTGTGTCGTGAGAGAAATGGGGAGGCCAAAGCTGCTTTTCAGCTTAGGCAGTTGTCAGCACTGAACTGTGTGTTTGGAGACCCTGAACTGGGGTTGCCAAGGAGGAAATGAGCACCTTGCTGCACTCCTGGGAGCAGGCAGGGCTGAGCTGTCTGTGGTGGACAGCCCTGCTCACCTGCTCCTTGTCCCTGTCCTCCAGGCAGGTCCGATGCCCAAGCACGTTGCCTTCATCATGGACGGCAATCGCCGCTACGCCCAGAAGTGTCACGTGGAGAGACAGCAGGGACATTCCCAAGGCTTTGATAAGCTGGCACAGGTGGGGAGGATGTTTTCTGCCTTTGTGGGGTGGAAGTTTGAGCTGGGTTTGCTGCTGGAATGGCATGCTGTGTTCCCTCCCTCCACCAGAGCCAGGCCTGTGCGTGGAGCTGATATTCACCATCAGGATTCACAACTTCAGCTCCTCCCTCTCTCTGTTATCTTGCAGAGTTGTTCTATTCAGCTATTTTTTTCCCTGTTTTGTGCTCAATTAAAATATCAACCTTTCAGATCTCAAGGCTTTTATTTCTGTGAATCAGGTTGACTTCCTTTCAAAAGGTTTGAAAGCTACAGTATTACATAATTTATAAACCAATGTTGCTTTTCCTGGCTGTATGAGTCCCCTGTGATGGATTCCCATCCTCAGGTATAGATATTTTCTTCCTGTTCTTCAAAATGAATCTGAAATTCACATTTAAGGGTTTCATCTTCTTGATGATTTCTTTTGATGCAGTCCTTGCCTGGTGGGAAACCACGGGAAGGCTTTAGGTGGAGAATTTGTGTCTACGTGGCCTGATTGTTACATTTTGTCTTCTTGCAGACACTGCGGTGGTGCTTGAACCTGGGCATTCGGGAGGTGACAGTTTATGCCTTCAGCATTGAGAACTTCAAACGCTCCAAGGAGGAGGTGGATGGGCTCATGGACCTGGCCAGACAGAAGTTCAGCCGCCTCCTGGAGGAGCAGTAAGAGTCCCCCTTGTCTGTGTCCCACAGGGTGGAACTGGAGCAGGACACCACAAATTTGCAGGGATGTTACAAGCTGTGAGAATGGATTGAGGAGAGCTTTCCCCACCTCCAGTCAGAGATTGGAGGGGCTGTGCCTGCCTGGGTGGGGTGTAGAGCTTTGTGCATGCACACTGCCCCTGCACACCAGATTTGTGACAATCCAAACCATGGGGACAAGGACAGCTTTCAGATAAACACAGCACGATCAGAATCCCAGAGTGCCAGATGTTGTTTTCATTTCACATCAAAGCCTTGTCTTAATTTTTGGTTAGAGGTGCCTGGATGGTTGTTCTAAGCTTCCTTAGGTAGGGATACCTGTTCTGTGATCATTTCCTGCTCCTTTGGTTGTACCTGTACCTCGGGAACTGGTGTGGGGAATGATCACCGTGCCTTTAGGGAACGCTTTGGGATGATCAAATCTCAGCCAGTTCTGCACACCTGAAAATCATTTGGTGGTTTTGCCTTTCTCCAGTTCCCAGTTTTGCTGAAGCTGTGGGTGGATGTTGGCACTTGTGCAGTAGAGACTGATGTGTTTTCTGTGGTCCCCACTCTGGTTGGGTGCAGGGAGAACCTGAAGAAGCACGGGGTGTGCATCCGTGTCCTCGGGGATCTGCCCCTCCTGCCTGTGGATATCCAGGAACTGATTGCCCAAGCTGTGCTGGCAACCAGGAACTACAACAAGTGAGTGACACTCAGTCTCAAGAGCTGACACCTCACGCCCTCCTCCTCTTCCTGAGGGCTGGGACTTGTCAGGCATCCTACACCTCTTTTTTCTTCTTGGTCCCACAAGCACACGTCACTGTCATCTGCTAGACCTTCCCAGGATGAGCCTTTCACATCTTTCTTTCCTCTTTGCAGGTGCTTTTTGAATGTCTGCTTCGCATACACATCGAGACACGAGATCAGCAATGCTGTCAGGGAGATGGCCTGGGGGGTGGAACAAGGACTGCTGGAACCCAGGTAACTCTTGGCTTTCTGTGAGAGGCTTTTGGATGAATCCTGCCTGCCTTACCACTCACACTGCATGAGAAACCTCTCAGAAGCCAAGTGCCTTTTAAATAGATCTCTTTAAACCAGTGTGACTGGAACAAATGACTTAAAGCTACTATGCAATGTTTGGCTTTTATTATTTCAGTTACCATGGTGATAGATACACAACCAAGACAGAAGAGAAATTAGGTCTGTGTCTTAAGTTAGTTTAAATGTGAAGGCAGATTTTATGCCACAACAATTGGCTGCTTGGCTGACAGTCTTAGCTATGAGGTCAAACAACAGATGAATCATGAATGCTGCACTGTTCCTCCACCCTGAAGGAGAAGGAGTAGTTACACTCTGCTGCCTGCTCCAGATGGAAGCCCTCACAGTCTGCTTCCACCACTGTGTTATGTTTCAAAGAGCATGGAGTGGGATGCTCTGGGGGCTGAAATAGCATTTGGAATAGCCTGTGGAGCAGACAGCAGTGTCTGTCAGAAGCAAGTTGATGACTGTCTGTGGTTCAGTTTTAATTTGCAGCCCTGAGTTTAGATAAAACCCCTTAATTCTGGTTTGTGCCACATCCATCAGGTCAGGAAGGGGGTCTGATAAACTGTGTCTGTCTTTTAGTGACGTGTCTGAATCGCTGTTGGATAAATGTTTGTACACCAACAACTCCCCCGACCCAGACCTGCTGATCAGAACCTCTGGAGAGGTTCGACTCAGTGATTTCCTGCTCTGGCAGGTAAAGTCTCTGTTTTCTCCTTGGGATATTCCATCTTTACCTGGTGACTCAGGTGCAAGTGGATGTGAGGGCTCTGAAACTCCTTCTGCTGGGGTTAGGTAACTTCCAGGATGGACTGAGTGCTGGGGTATCTCTGAGGAATCTTTCTTGCAGATCTGTGTTTGCCTAAAATCATGAATTTTCATCCTTTTGCTCCTCTCCTCACCTTTAGATAATTACTTGTTTGCAGAGAACATTTCAGTGGAGTTGCTTCAGCTGAAGCTCATAGGTTGTTTTACATGTACCGTTTGGAGCCAAAACCAATTGCCTTTAGGCAACCACATCAAATGTTCCCATTCCAAATTATTTAATTGGCACGTTCTCAGAAGTTGTCTGGCCCGAGCTGTGCTTACCTACCAAGGTATCCCCTCTCCTCCCCCTATTTTTTGGCACACCTATACCCTGGATGGGTGTTGATGCTATGAAATAACACTTTCCTTGCTCCTCTTGGTGGTAGAGGAGTCCTGTTAAGTGTTGGATTGTTTCAGCAGTCATCACAGGAATGTATTTACCTGAAACTGTGAGGGACTTGGTGGCAAAAATAGGTTTTGACTTGAAATCTTTCATCATCCAGCTCAAGGATATCTTCAGTGCACCACAACTCTTGGCTTCATTAAACAGTTTAAATTTCATGAGTGGGCAGTAAGGAATATCATGAGATGTCATTTGAAGAATGGCTTAAATGTCACGTCCTGATCCTCAGTTCAACTGTTATTCCCTTAGCCTTTGGTACTCCACTGTTGCTATTTTAGTTTTTTTATAAGTCTGTGATGCTCAAGCTATTAAAAATACCTCTCTGAAGAGCAACACAGCATTAGAAGGAATCTAATGCCTTTGCAGGAGTGGATGGCTGGTGTCCCTGCATTAAAAATGAACTAGAAGGATTCTACACTGTGCAATTTCACACTCTCCTAGCTGGTTTTGACCTCACTTTAAGTAGAATCTGACAACACAGCCTAGGTAAAACCTTTGTGGGGAAAGTGGCATAGTTTGCACAATAGAGTTGCATCTTAATGACTTTTTCTCTTGCTCAATGATTAAATTGTTGGTGGTCTTGCTTTCTGCAGACATCCCACTCATGCCTGGTGTTTCAGTCAGTCTTGTGGCCAGAATATTCCTTTTGGAACTTATGTGAAGCTATCCTCCAGTTCCAGATGAACTACAGTGCTTTACAGGTAAGGGAGCCTTGGAGAAGTGGAAAGCCCAACTCCACAGCTGGAGATCAGGTGAGAGGCTACAAAGTGGGAGCAGTGATTGTTAGCTAAGATCTTGTTTCAGTAGCAAACTGAACTTGTTGCTTCTCCTGTAGCCCTGTGGCTTGGTACAACATCTTGGTGTGTGGGCAGACTCCTCTCCTTTCAACAAAATATCCAAAGTCAGCATTGTCTCTGTTCCTCATTGCTCATTCCACCAGCTGGAGCATCTGTCCCAGACCTCACACACCACCAAGTGAACACTCCTGCTCTGCCCCAGGGTGAAACCTGCCAGTTCAACTCAGACACTTCATCAGTGCTGTAAGCACATGCTGCATTCACACTGGAGCAAGGAGGGGGTACTCACATGCTCTCCCTCTAACTCCACTATTGTTTTCAGGGTTGTAACAAGTGGGTTTAGAGTTTCCTTTCTGGGAGCTGAAGTGAGGCTGCCTGAGCTCTGAGTCTGTGGACAAGTGTCCTCTTTCTGGTGGGTCCAGATGTACCTGCTGAAGGAATTGTTCCTGTTGCTCACTGACATTGTTCCTCTCCTTTTAGATCTGTTGCTGTGAGCTCTCCCTGACCTGGTTCTGATACAGCTGGCCAATTCACTACTGAGACAGTAGTTTGGCTATTTTTAAGCAAAACAAGTGTGGGAGCTGGAACTCTTGATGGAGAAATGTGGGGGGGCAGGAGCTCATGACTGGCAGAAGGACTTCAGAGTGGCAGCTCTTAATTTCCACCATATCTCGCTGCTGAATGTGTCTGCTCCTTAATTATTTGGGTCCTCTTTTTAAAGACAGGCATCACATTGCCCTTTTCTACCTTCAGGGACCTTGCTCACCCCTGAGAGTTGTCAAAGAGATTATAGCCAGTTGTGGTTATGGCTGAATTTAATCAAGTGCAGCCAGTCTGGCAGCATCCAAACTCTCCATGTCCTTAACCTCTTTTGTTCCTATTTCTGGCCCAAGTCTGCCCTTTTCCTACCAGCAATTCATTGTATTAGTACAACTAATGGCAGTTCACCTTCTGCATGAAGAGGGAAGCAAAAAAGGCAGTAGTGTTTGTCATTGCCATGAGCTTGGCCTCTGTCTGGAACAGTAAGGTCACTGTTCTGACTTTGCTCCTGGTGCTGGTTTCTGACAGGCAACAAATGCAGCTTCTGTTCCCAGCTATTCTCATCTTTTCTTGGTTCTGGTTGGTGGCTGGATGTGTTCATGCCATGCTATTATCAAGGTTTCTCATTGTCCACATTTGTCCTCTGGTCAGTCTTCTCCCTCTAAGAGCCACTTTGCAGTGTCTGAGGCTGCCCTTTTTTTCCAGGGAACCCTCACAGTTGTGCAAAGGGAGGACTTCTCCCTCAGAGGAACTGAGAGATTTAGGAGCTGGATCTTTTTAAGTTTAAAATAGGTGATCTTGAAATCCAAAAGAACTCCTGAAGCAAATTCTCTTGGTGGAAGAGTTGCTGTCAGTGAGGACGGTGGGGCTGGGGGGGACTTGCTGAGAAGCCAGAATGTTTTACAGCAGCTGTGTCTGCTTTGGGAGTGTGCTGCTGCTTTTGGGATGTGGATGGGCAGCAGGATGGAGGGGGCCACAAGGTACAGAAACCCCACCTCGATTTGGAGGTGGTGAAAGAGATCCTCCATCAGCTCAAACAGCATCACTTTTAATGGCTTCTATTTTATTTCCCAGCCTGTTGCTCAGGGGACTCTCCCAGCTGCTTGTTGCTCACCATGGAGTCCCAGAATCAGGCAGACCCTGCTTTTGGTAGATCTCAGGAAGGAATGCAGGTGTTCGCTGGCCAGCCTGCCCCTGCAGTGGTGAGCTGAGTCTTTCTGGGCAGTAGACAGGATTGCAGTTTGAGGGTGGAAGTCTTCTGCTCAACAGGCTGATGATCCCTGCAGTTCAAGTCAGCCCTGGAGTGCATCCATTCATTGGGTTTGCAAGGGCTGGGGATATTTCTGTCACATTCCCAGCACAACAAAAGCCAATTTCCAGAGCATAGCTGCCTTGGGCTCAAGAAAAGTGTGGGGATGAATGAGTCAGGCTCTCATTAGAGTAATTATTCTTCTTGCTTGTTTGAAGGACCAGCACTTCCCAAGTGTGTGTGTGTGTGTGTCAGTTTATGTCACAGTGACCAGTTTTACAGTTTTTAAAAATAGAACTTTAATATTCCTGCCTGCTGATGTGTTTTGGCTGTTGGAAGCTGCAGGCCAGGACATGTGCAATAAGAAGAGATTGAACAGTGATGTTCTACAACAAAATATTTCAAATACTTGAAGGGTAGACAAGGATGCCTTTGCCTTTCTCCTGCTGTGTCTCAAGCCAGTACACTCTCAGATCACAGAAATTTGGGAATGCTGAGCTTATTCCTGCTTTTGTTTTAAAGCTGATTAGCTGAATACTGGATCATCTCAAAGAATTGCCCTGTAAGTCATGTTTTGGAATCCCCTAAAACCTTTCAGCAGCCAGGGGAATAGGATCAAAAAAGCTGGGATAACACTGGTGAGGATAAGAGTGTGCATGTCTGGGATTCACAAATTTTTCTGTAGCTGTTCCTCTCTGATTCCAGTATCTGAGTGTTTCCCACAATCTGTCCTGACTTTTATCTGTTCTGACTAGGAGTTAATGTTCTGAGCAGAGTTGTATCATGGAGGGAAGGACTAGAAGGATACCCCTGTATTTTTTGTAAGCAGTCAAGCAGGCTGCCTCAAGGTGGAAGAGGCAGACCCAGAGGCAGCCTTGAGTGAACCTGCAGATTGATGGCCAGGCAGAGGCTGTTTGTCCTGAGCTGAGAGGCCTGGGAAGGTGCTAACACTCGCTGCTTTTCACTCCAGAAGGCCAGAGACTCCTACCTGGAGGAGAGGAGGCGACAGCAGATGGAGAGGGACCAGGCTTACGTGACCCAGAAGCTGCAGCAGGAGGGGTGCGCGTCCCACGGAGACTCGCGGCGCCGGCGGACGCTGCTGCAGAAATGCACGGCCCTGCGGGAGGAGAGGATCCAGGGCTTCCTGCAGGCCCTGGAGCACAAGAGAGCCGACTTCTTTGAGAGATTGTGTCCGGTGTCTGCATGACACAGGTGCTGGGCTCTGGGGAACGCAGTGTTCAGAGGGAGCAGCTGCTGCCCAGAGGGACTGGCTCAGCAGGGTCCTGCCGTGGGCACCCGGGGCTGCTCCAGGACCTGCCCGGGGCAGGGATGGGTGCTGTGAACTCTCCTGGTCTGTGATGCTGCTGAGGAAGGTGATGCTGTCCTGTGTCACCTCCCTGCCCTGGTGACAGATACCTGCACCCTGCTGGCTCCTTGACAGGCCAGGTGTTCCGGTGACAAGAAGTTAACTGCAATGAGCCTCCTCCAGTTCTCTGATTCCTCCTGAACTGGCCCAGCCAAACCAGTTCAGTCCTGTTAAATCAGTCTGGGCTTGGGTTCTTTCCATGGCTTTGCAGTAGGGAATCTTCTGTTGAGGTGTCCTCTGCTGTCCCATCCATAGAGCCCTGCTTTCTGCAGGGAGAGGATTATTCCTGGTGTCAGGGACATTCCCCACTGCCTACTCAGTGAGAGCATCTTGTCTTTTCCCCCCCTGACTCTGCTGGGTTGGGTGTATCCACTCCAGGCTTCCAGGGAGCTGAAGGAAGGGTTCCCAGCCTTGCTGTAAAGAAAAAGCTGCTCCAAAGCTTCAGCAGGTTCTGAGATCTCTCCTGGGCAGTGTCTTTGGGGAAGCGCAGAAGATGCTGGTGTTGGGCCACACTGACCTTGGGAAGGGCTCTGAGCAGGCAGGAAAAAAAGGATTGGTTGGGAATGAACCTTCTCAGGAAGGAAAGGAAATTGGCTAAACACAGGTGATGGCTACCACATGCCAAACCCTCTGAGGGTGTTCCAGGGAATGAGGGTGGGCTTAATTCAGGAATACAGTAGCCAAAACCACCAATGTCTGACCCCAGCCAAAATGGTTCAGAATGATATTAAAGGGAGTGGCTGGAGCAGCTGTGGAGTATTGTTCTCAGTTTTCCATTGGCAGGGAGATGGACAAGCTGATTTCCAGGATTGTTTCTGTCTCTGATTCCTCCTGGCTTCCGTCCCCATGATCAAAATACCTGAAAATGTCTTGATTTTTGCTCCTGCTGCACACACAGGTGTGGCTGTACCAGCTATTGCTGGGTTTGAAGTGTTTCTTCTTACCTCCAGGTGAAAACCACAAAATGCAGATTTAAAAGCCTTGTGCACTTGGCCTGTGATTGTGAAGAGAAGAACTGTGTAGTCAAACTGGGAATAAAGTATATTCATACCAAAGTTATTTAAAAAATAACCTGAATGTTTAAAAGTATGTAGAGCTGCTTATTTTAAGGTGTGATGAAGCTGGAATCCAGGTTTAATATAATAATATTTAATCTGTGACAGACTCCTGCTGTGATTCCTGTTAGCCTGGGAATGATTTGAAGGTTGTTTTTACAGTGTAGTGTGAGCAGTTTTCTGATACCCCAAGGGAAGCTGTGTGCAGGTACCACCTCTTGTGTAAGTAGCAAAGAGAATTTGGATAAAAATGTGCTGAGATGATGAGAGCTGTTGATTTTAAACTTCTTCCACTGCATTTTATTTTCTCCACATTTCAGGAAACTCTGGAAACAGTTTACTCTCCATGAGATGGAAACTCTCTAGTCTGCTTTACCAAGCTGATGGGGAAACTCTTCTACTCAAAAAATGCATTTTTGCCTTAAGAAAAAACAAAAACCAAAAACTTTCCATTGTGTTATGACTCTACAGGTGACAAAAGCCACAGTGGTGGCTTTCCACAAAGTACTGCTCCTCTTGCAGGGGAGGTAAGTGAAGGATCTGGTTTATAAAATACTTGTATGGAAAGTTTTAATCCATTTTATGGAAGGCATCACTGGAGTAGGGGAGGAGGAAGAGTCCTTCAAACAGTGGCAAAAGGTTCCTGTTACCTGACTTTGTACATTTCAACTGCATCAGTTATTCCAGTAAATGCAATTGCAGTTATTTCCCCTGTGAGCCTTCCTTTGTTAGAGGGTGGAGATGAGTTACCTGGGCAAACACAAGTTTAAGGAGTGAATCTGTGGGAACAGAGCCACAGGCTTCTGTCAGTGAGAACTGAACCTCCACCATTCATTTTTATGGGTTGAAGATGGGAAAAATCTAAAAAAGCCCGAGTTTACCTGGGCAGGGAAAGGGGGAGGAAAGGTTGTTCCTTGGGGTGTTTTTCTGAATGAGGCTCAGCTAAAAAGTGAGAGAAGTCATGGCCACAGTGAAGTGGTGATGAAGATGTGTAGCTGGATTTGTAGCACAGGGGCTGTGACCGTGCCAGGTGAGGAATGTCCCCTCCTGGAAGGAGCCCAGCTTCCCGACTCACTTGGCACAAGCAGCAGGCACCTGTGTGAATCCAGTTAACGTCATTTTATTGCCTTTTAACATTTTTCTCTCTTCTTCCAGCCCTGCCGCCTCCTTCTTGGGATACAGCTCTGGGCATCTCCCGTGTTTTTGCAGGGAAAAAGGGTTCTCGGTGGTTCCCCCGGGAGCCCCTCCCGGCGCGGGGGCCCCCGCGGGGCCGGAGGTGCTGAACGAACAGCTCCGCTCACCTGCGCGCGGGATCGCGGCGGGATCGCGGGGTGGGGGTGTCCCCCTTTCCCCCGAGCCGCCTTTCTCATCCCAAATTTTCACCTTTTTCCCCCAAAATTTTTTCCATCCCTTC